GATCCATAAGTCCTAACTGGGAGGATATATTGGTTAAAGACTTTTCTTTTTAAACATAATGGCAAGGAACCTCATAGTATGCTACTGTGCCTGTCGAAGGTGCTCCAGCCTGGACTAATGCGTCGCTTTATTTCCTCTTCGCTAGATGTGTTAAATACTAAATACTATGTGATAAATACTTGTCCACTACCTATATCACTTCGCCTTTTTACATGTACCTGTTCAAACTGACTCTACTGTTGAACATGGCCTTAGTCTTTTTTCCTGTTCATCTCAAGACCAACTTTCAGACTTTTCAGATGATTTATTTATTGCTGCAGTTCATTTGCTGACTCGCTGAAGATAAAAATATCGTTCGCAAATCTTAGATTGTTTAGGCGTCCCCTATTTTGATACCCTTTCTGTTCCATTCTAGTTTTCCTCGAGGGAAGCTGTAAACAGTTTTAGTGAGATAGTGTCTCCCTACTTAACACGTTTTTCATTGGTATTTAATCGGTTTCTGTGTGCAGCTTGATGGTTGTTATCCCATCTTCGTATATATCTTCCCGTATTTAACAAGAGAATTCCTCTGCCCCTTATCTTCGAATAGCTTCTGATACTGTTAGTATTTGTATGGAGTCAAATGCTTTTTCGTAATTGACGAATGCCTTACACATGAGTTTCCTATATTATTATTTTTTCTTATTTGGGTTAGTGTGGGGATGTGGTCTGTTGTCGAGAATCCACTGCCATAGCCTGCCTGTTTTCTATTCTGGTTAGAATGTAGTGTCAGAGATGCGAGTTGTGATGACATTTGTGAACAGTTTGTGAGTAACTGAAAGGAGGTTTATGGGTCAGTCGTTTTTCTTTAAGATCCTTCCTGTCTCCTTTTTTATGTATCAAAATAATTGTTGTATTTTTTAGGCTTTTAGTGTTTTGCAATTGATAAGGCATTTGTTGTGAAGACTGGCTAGTGTAACTTTTGCAGTTTCTCTTGCATCGATTATAAGGTTTATACTAATTCCGTCTTCATCTGGTGTTTTCTCTCTCTTCATGCCTTTAAGCGCTCTTTTTAGCGTGTTTGCTTTTTCTCGTGAATGTTCATTTGAGTTGTATTGGTTCCTGAAATCACGGTTTCGTTTATTATTTGAGTATTGAATTTCCATACATCTTCTCACTTCTTTTTATTTATAGTCTTTGTTAGTTCAGCTAATTTTGTTTTGCTCCTGATTGACGATACTTTCATGTCCCTATGTTTTTGCATAAGCTGTTTAGTTTCTACGGAGAGCTTGCTGGAGGTTTGCTTAGCGTTCGTACCGCCTGCTTCAAGTGCAGCTTCCTTTATCATGTCACTGAACTGTTTGTTGATTTGGTCAATGTTGAGATCTTCGTCGATGAGAAGTGAACATCTGTTTTGGATGTTAAGGTTAAATTCTGTCGCCTGGTCTTCAAATGAACTAAATCTGGCTTCGACTTCCGTATGAGTTTGTTAATTTAATTTCTGAGGTGTAATCTAATTTCTCTGACCAATCTAGGATCGTTACCAACATTTACTTTATAAATAACTTTCACATTTTTTACTCTGTCGTGATGTTTGAAATTATGAAGTAAATTCCGTTTCTGATGTCAAATGGTGACTTCCGTGTACACTTCCCCTCTAGAATGTATCCATGATATTGAGTGATAGAGCCTCAGAAAAATCGATCAGCATTTGTCCCTTCTCATTTCTATTCTATATATATACATATATACACATATATGTATATGCCTCGCGAAAACGACATATCGCAGGTGTCGTAGGGGAAGTCACCGCCGTGGCACAAGTGTTAGCGCGCCGAACCGCGGTTGATTAGGAAGGGAATCCAATCAGGCAAGGGTGACACTGACACACACACACACACATACATACGCACACACATACATACACACACACATACACACATGCGCACAAATAAATGCATATAAGTACATATACATAAATATACACACATAGACATACATCTTGTATTCTTACACATAACAAATAACTGTACATACATAAAAATACATGTACATGCACACATTAACATACACACATATAAGCCCATACACAAACTTGGACGCACATATGTTTTGCTCTCGTGCATACACACACACATGGACACGTACACACATACACGCATGCACGTGCGCAAGTACACGTCCGTGCATAAGCGTTTCAACAGTGTCTGCATGAGCGCCCATAAGCACTCTATTTTAATGAGCCCATGATATATCTACATATATCTATATCTATATCTATCTATCTATCTCTCTATCTATATATCCATCTATCAATCTGTCTATCTATCTATCTCTCTATCTATATATCCATCTATCAATCTGTCTATCTATCTATCTATCTAATCTATCTATCTATCTATCTGTCTATCTATCTGTCTATCTATCTATCTATCTATCTATCTATCTATATATATATAGAGAGAGAGGGTGAGAGAAAGACAGAGGGTAAATAGTTATCTATATCTATCTATCTATCAATCTATCTATCTATCTATCTATCAATCTATCCATCTGTCTATCTATCTATTTATCTATCTATCTATCACACACACTCTCTCTCTATATATATACAGAGAGAGAGAGAGAAAGAGAGAGAGAGAGAGAGAGAGAGAGAGAGAGAGAGAGAGAGAGAGAGAGAGAGAGAGAGAGAGAGAGAGAGAGAGAGAGAGAGAGAGAGAGAGAGAGAGAGAGAGAGAGAGAGAGAGAGAGAGAGAGAATATATCATATGAAGTACGTGCATAAAAAAAAAAAAATAGTATGAACTTAGAAACCAGAAAAAAAATAAGATAATACAAACTTAACAAAGGCATTCCAAGGCTTTAAACACAGAGCAGATAACAAGGGGAATGACTATGGTATCGTTTGTGGATTTTTTTCTTTCTTTCTTTTAGATTTATTTCAGAGTAAATAACACGAAACAGAATTGATCTATTGGTTAATATTATTAATTTCAATGTTTTATATATTCATTACTGGAAAGAAAAGCATATTTTGCCAGGCTAAAGGTAATAAAAAGAGTGAATCTGAGGTGAACAATAAGAATGTAAAGAAATTATAAAAAAGGGAAAAATATGATGATGATGAAGAAGGAAAATGACAGTGACAAAGGAAATAGATAATGATGATGAAAGGATATCAGTATCAAGATAACATACATTTAAGACCACCGGTTTTAAGTCATCAGTTATAGTCCCTTCAAAAATCATCTTAGTCGTCTAAAAAAAAATGGCCTTAGTCATCTCTCCTTCAAAAAGTCACCTAACGCTCCATTAAAAAAAAGAAAAGAAAAGAAAAAATCGCTTTAGTCATCTCTCTTTAAGAAATCCTCTCACTCACTCTCCCTCTCGAAAATCGCTAATAAATTGCTCCGGTCACCCCCCCCCCATCTCCCCTTTAGCTCCCCCCCACCTCCCTTAGCCCCCCCACCTCCCTTTAGCTCCCCCCCACCTCCCCTTTAGCTCCCCCCCACCTCCCCTTTAGCTCCCCCCCACCTCCCCTTTAGCTCCCCCCCACCTCCCCTTTAGCTCCCCCCCACCTCCCCTTTTAGCTCCCCCCCACCTCCCCTTTAGCTCCCCCCCACCTCCCCTTTAGCTCCCCCCCACCTCCCCTTTAGCTCCCCCCCACCTCCCCTTTAGCTCCCCCCCACCTCCCCTTTAGCTCCCCCCCCACCTCCCCTTTAGCTCCCCCCCACCTCCCCTTTAGCTCCCCCCCCACCTCCCCTTTAGCTCCCCCCCACCTCCCCTTTAGCTACCCCCCCACCTCCCCTTTAGCTCCCCCCCACCTCCCTTTAGCTCCCCCCCCCACCTCGCCTTTAGCTACCCCCCCCACCTCCCTTTAGCTACCCCCCCACCTCCCTTTAGCTCCCCCCCACCTCCCTTTAGCTCCCCCCCACCTCCCCTTTAGCTCCCCCCCACCTCCCCTTTAGCTACCCCCCACCTCCCCTTTAGCTACCCCCCCACCTCCCCTTTAGCTCCCCCCACCTCCCCTTTAGCTACCCCCCACCTCCCCTTTAGCTACCCCCCCACCTCCCCTTTAGCTCCCCCCCACCTCCCCTTTAGCTACCCCCCCACCTCCCCTTTAGCTCCCCCCCACCTCCCCTTTAGCTCCCCCCCACCTCCCCTTTAGCTCCCCCCCACCTCCCCTTTAGCTCCCCCCCACCTCCCCTTTAGCTCCCCCCCACCTCCCCTTTAGCTCCCCCCCACCTCCCCTTTAGCTCCCCCCCACCTCCCCTTTAGCTCCCCCCCACCTCCCCTTTAGCTCCCCCCCACCTCCCCTTTAGCTCCCCCCCACCTCCCTTTTAGCTCCCCCCCACCTCCCCTTTAGCTCCCCCCCCACCTCCCCTTTAGCTCCCCCCACCTCCCCTTTAGCTACCCCCCCACCTCCCCTTTAGCTATCCCCCCACCTCCCCTTTAGCTACCCCCCCACCTCCCCTTTAGCTCCCCCCCCACCTCCCCTTTAGCTCCCCCCACCTCCCCTTTAGCTACCCCCCACCTCCCCTTTAGCACCCCCCCACCTCCCCTTTAGCTATCCCCCACCTCCCCTTTAGGTACCCACCCACCTCCCCTTTAGCTACCCCCCCACCTCCCCTTTAGCTCCCCCTCCACCTCCCCTTTAGCAACCCCTCCACCTCCCCTTTAGCTACCCCCCCCACCTCCCCTTTAGCTCCCCCCCACCTCCCCTTTAGCTATCCCCCCACCTCCCCTTTAGCTCCCCCCCACCTCCCCTTTAGCTCCCCCCCCCTCACCTTCGCCACCAGGAAAGCCTCCTCCTCCGGCAGACTCTCGAACCGCAGGACGTAGTCGAGGGGCAGCTGGCACGGCGAGCAGAAGGAGTAGTAGGGCGCCCAGTGCTCGTTGGGGGCGCTGCCCTTCGCCCGCTCCGCCAGCAGGTAATCCACGAACTCGGGGAAGCTCGGCTGGCAGTCCACGCCTCGCCGGGGCCTCCCGCCGACCCTGGTCTGGATGTGGCACCGCAGCGGT